GGGCAACAGGTCACCTGGCTAGCTATAGAGGCTGCCCCTTTGCGAAAGCGATGCAAAAAGACAGAGAAAAATCTATTAAAATGAGAAAGGGAAAGATCGATGGGTCTAATTTTCCTAACTTCCCAGATAAACCAAATAAAAAGAAAAAAGGGGGGAAAAATCCTCCTAGTGCTATTAAACAAGGAGTTAGCTTCGCCGACGCAGTATCCGGCCCGAAACCCTCTGATCAACAGGAAGAGCTCATAAGTCAACTCTTAATGACCATTGAATCATTAAGGAAGCAACTAGAGGAGATGAGTAAGAGACAGGAAAAATACGAACAGGCTCTTATGAGCCGAGTGTAGAGTTCTCGATAAAATGACTAACAAAAGTGAAAGCATTCTTAATCTCATCGCATGGAATGCGAATGGATTAAAACCTGCTAAACTCTTAGAATTTAGTGAAAAAATGGCAAAATTACGTGTAAATATAGCATTGTTCTCTGAAACCCATTTTGCTAGGGAATCGAGAAGATACTTGAAAGGATATAGATTTTATAATTCACGACATCCTTCTAGTAACGCTAGGGGGGGAGCCTCTATTGCTATCAGGGAAAACATTAAACACTCCGTTCTTGAAATTGTAGAAGAAGAACGTTTCCAAGCGGTGATTATTCAAACTGAGTCATCGCTGGGGCCATTTAATGTCAGCGCTATATACGCTCCACCGCGTCATCGATGCTCAGTTGAAGATTATTCTGGCTTACTTGATGAATTGGGTCCTCGCTTCCTTATCGGGGGGGGGGGGGGGGACTTCAACTGTAAAAACGTCAGATGGGGTTCGAGATTAACTAACCCGAAAGGTGATAATCTTGAAACTGCAGTCAATCTTACCGGAGGTGATTTTATCTCTCCGGATAAACCCACCTTCTATCCAGGTAATCCATTGAAAGAGCCTGACGTAATTGATTTTATCATCTTCAATAATCTCAATCTCAATAACAAAACTTCTTGCAATGTGTTAGAGGGAAAAAAAGATCATAAGCCGGTTTTCTTATCAATATTTGCTACTCCAGTATTAGTTAAACGCCCACCCTGTCTAATTTCTACTCAAACAGACTGGAAAAAATTTCGAGAATTATTAACTTCCCGTATTAATAACTCGACTTAAATAAACGACTGCTCCACACTTGATAAGGAGGCAGAGTCATCAAATTCGAGCATCCAAGAAGCTGCAAAAGCAAGCACGCCGGTTGGTAGAACTTTTAATAATTTTCATCATAAATGCACTCTTCCAAAGGAAATACTCAGCCTTATTGACCGCAAAAACAAAGCGGGAAGGAGGAGACGGATTACTCACCATGAATCTGATAAAAATCTCTACAATAGACTAAACAAGGCAGTGGAGAAACGTATTAATGAATTTCGTAATGAAAAATTTGTAGCTAATTTCAGCCCAAGCGAAGCTAATGATTACACCCTTTGGAAAGCGACAAAATCCCTAAAACGTCCTTTCCTACCTAGCTTCCCAATTAGAAAACCTGACGGTGAATGGGCAAATAATAGCCAGGAAAAAGCCCATACCATTGCCGATCACCTTGAAAAAGTATTTCAACCTAACCCCTGCGAATCTCCAGAGAAGGAATGCGAACTAGAGGAAGAAGTTGGTAATATTAATTTTCTCCCTGCAGAAAAAATCAACAAAATTACGTATGACGAAATTTTCAAGGAAATTAAATATAAAACAAAAATCAAGAAAAGTCCAGGTTTTGATCTTATCTCAGCAATTATCCTCAAGCAACTTCCTCCTGCGGCAATCAAAAAGTTAGAAGCACTCTTTAATGCAGCGTTGTCATTGAAATACATCCCTAGTCAATGGAAATTGGCTGAGGTGATTGTTATTTTAAAATCCGGAAAACCTCCTTCAGCCCCTAGTTCGTACCGCCCTATCTCCTTACTTCCCCTGATATTCAAACTTTTCGAGAAGTTATATATTAAACGTTTACTGGCAATTGTAAATAAGAAAAAGTTACTTCCTAATGAGCAGTTTGGTTTCAGGGCTAAACATAGCACAATAGAACAATTACACCGGATCTCTTCTTACATTGAAAAGGCGCTAGAGGAGAAACAGTTTTGTAATGTAGTTTTCTTGGATGTCGCCCAGGCATTTGACAAAGTCTGGCATTCTAAAGTGGCTTTTAAACTTTCAAAAATCTTGCCTGGGAACCACGTGCAATTAATAATGTCTTATTTAGCAGATAGATCTTTTAGGGTTCGATTTGAAGACTCTTACTCTGAATTTAGGAAAATAAGAGCAGGGGTACCTCAAGGTTCAGTACTCTCCCCCCTAATCTTTAGTCTCTTCACCGCTGACGTACCTAAACCTAAAAAAGGAAAAATCGGGATCTTTGCTGACGACACGGCCGTTGCGTCCTCTGCGCCCACATATGAGGAAACAGTCACTAACATCCAAGAGTGCCTGGACGACATCCAGGATTGGACTGAGCGCGATCGCACGGCGCTTAACGCCACCAAATCAGTTAACGTGATCTTTACCTTAAGACCATATGTTTATGTCCCTGTGATCCTAAATAAAATTGCTATTCCCCATGCACAAAAGGCTCCTTACCTCGGCCTTACTATGGATTGTAAGTTAAAATGGAAGGAGCATATTCTAAATAAGAAAAAGCAAATTGACTTAAACCACAGACAGATGCTATGGCTTCTCGGGAAGCGATCTAAATTAAAGCTAAAAAATAAAGTTTTACTTTATAAATCAATGTTAAGGCCAATCTGGGTATACGGCTGCCAGATTTGGGCGTGTGCCGCCAGTTCTAATCTCAAAATTATTGAGACAATTCAAAATAAAATACTCAGACAAATGGCAGGGGCCAGGTGGTACGAGCGAAACATCGATATTAGAGATGAGCTCGGGATCGAAGAGATGGACATGTACATCTCACGTATGTACAATAGATATGAAGAGAGACTGGGCGGTCACCCCAATCCCGAAGCAATAGCGCTTTTGGATTGGGGCTCCGAGACCTGGAGGTTAAAAAGTCGAAAACCACACGAGTTGAGCACGGCTCATTTCCGTCGGTGTTAGGCTCGTGCCTCTGGCCCCTACCAGTCTTAGTCGACTGACAGGGCGAAAGCATAGTTAGTAGGAAAATTCTCTAGAATCTAGTTCTAGGAATAATTATAGTTAATATTAGTTAGTTTTTGCTCCCGCTTTTTACAGGATTTTACTTCTATCTCATTTGTTCATCCTTCATTATCATTCTCATTAATGTAATCCATAAAGCGGTGTTTACTTCTATTTTATTATACTAGGCTTAAAGAAAAATTTGTAAAGACTCGTAAGGTTTAGTAATATAAGTTGTAATCCAATATGTGCAATTACAAAAAATAAATAAAAAAAAAAAGAAAAATTTGAGGTCAAGATTTTTTAAGTGCACACACGCCCCTGAACTACAACGAGCAAAACAGCGGTTAATTTTGCTTATAGTCCCCTTCAGTTAGTCTCTGACGCAACCAGCTTACCTTTGAAGCACGTTTAGTTGCCTTAGTCCCTAATACAAGGAAACATTGATGAATTTGTTTCCTCCGAAAAGATGCCGCAGGATAAAACAAGCAGTTCTCCTTTCAGTCTCAAACCTCAAAATATTTGATATCTTTTGAAGTCAAGATTTTTTACCACCTCCTATTCTCACTTCCATTTACGTTTTGCATTTTAGGAAGAAAAATTCAACTCGCATACATCTAAGAGCTTTACTTATTCAATTTTCTGCTAATTATTCGCTTTCATTTCAGGTAGCCGCAGCTCTTCATACGTACAATAGCTATGTAAGGGAGCCATTGTAATACTTACAAAACTTCCCTCGTTTGGATGAAGAATAGAATAAATGTTTTGAATTCAGATTCTGGCATACTCTTTAAAAATTAAAAAAAAAAAAAAAACCTCAAGTAAATGAAGGCAGAATTTTTTTAAAAAAAGTAAATAAATTGCTTACAAAATCAACTATTCTGGCGATACGGTGCCGATACATATCATTTTGAGTGTCAGCTACAGCCCCCATCTTCTTTTAGGTACCAAGATATACCTTCAAGTATTGTAGGTAAAACGACCAAGGGAGGATTACATGCTCGAAAAAACTCATCTAACCTAAATTCTACTGAACACTTCAAGGCTGTGAAATTTGATTCGCGACAAATCCTAACGACTTATTCCGAAATACATTTGTTTACTTAAAATTAAAGAGTTGACTGTCGATTTTGTGATTTTTCTGCCTAGCGCTCACAGTAATTTGCCATCTCTGAATTTCTAAGGTGCTAGGTGACATGAAAATACTTTGTAGTGAAAGGTAAGAAAGAAAAATCGTCACGAACTGGTAAATAGGTGCATTTTCATTTTACAGCAATTTTCAAACTTGCTCTATGTACCGTTATTATTGGCACTACCCTTCCAGTCATACCACATCCATCAGAGTTTCGGGACCGTCTCGCCAGAATTGTTGACTTATTAAGCAATTTATTTACTTTCTTTTTTGATTCTTTTTTTTCTATCTCTCTCTCTTGATAAGCCTGTCGCACCTGCATTAGGCGAGAATTTTTAATTCTGCCTTCATTTACTTGAGTTTTTTTTTAAAATTTTCAAGGAGGATGCCAGAATCTGAATTCAAAACATTTATTCTATTTTTGATCCAAACGAGGGAAGTTTTGTAAGTATTACAATGGCTCCCTTACATAGCTATTGCAGGTATGAAGAGCTGCGGCTACCTGAAATGAAAGCGAATAATTAGCAGAAAATTGAATAAGTAAAGTTCTTTGATGTATTAGAGTTGAATTTCTTTTCCTAAAATGCAAAACGTAAATGGAAAGGAGATTTAGGAGATGATAAAAAATCTTGACTTCAAAAGATATCAACTATTTTGAGATTTCAGACTGAAAGGAGAACTGCTGAAAACATTGCCTTGACGGAATTTTTACCCTTTTTAAAAGTTTTTTGGTGTTAAAACTTACAGTAATTCCCTCAAGGATGCCTTCCAGAGCTTCTTTTTTTTCATCTTCTGGATCTTCTCCTGTCAGGATTCCTTTGATATAGGAACTGAAGACAGACTCATCAGCATTGAGATCTTTAAGTTTCAAACATAGCCAGTAGTCGAAGTTCTCTTCCACGGCGGCCATTTCAAAGTGGTTGCTGCAAAACGTACCGGAATAATAACTGCACTTGCACTGACAATTGAAAATAAAACTAAACAGAAAATGATTGATACACGATAGGTGAAAGGTGTCCAGAGCCGTTGAATGGAACCTACATGGAAAACCATGGGATTCAGCTGCGGCTGAATTTTGTCGTTATTTAATATATTTTCCATTGCCTTCTGAGCTTGACGAGCTTTGAAAATTGCGTAATCTACGTGCCAGTTTTGGGGGAGGCAAGTTCGAAAAGATAATGTGTATGCTACTTGCGACAAATATCCATTACTAGGGGGCTACGCCCCCTGGCCGCTACGCGGCCCAACCCCCCGAAGGCGCTCCGCGCCATCAATGGGCCGCTTCGCGACCCTATTTTTACCCTCCTATTAGTGTTAGTTTCATTTTTTCCCTAAAAAAATTCGATATGAGGTATACTTAATAGAATGAAATAATTTTTGGTTTTGATGAATAAAGAAAAAAAAATTTTTGAAGTCAAAAGGACGCGTTTTGGAATGACGGTTTGATGAAATATTACAGTAAAACAACGATCTGTTTAAATCGGATACTTATTAAGTATCTCTGGAGGCGGGGATCGAACCCACACCTTGATCAATGTGAACACTTCCGACGTCGTAGACGACTCGGCCACCGCTAGGGATGTCGATACTTATCCGATACTTGCAAAGTATCGATACTTTCAATCGATACTTAACGATACTCGGCATCGATACTCCACGATATCGATACCATGCAGTATCGATGCCAAGACCCCAGTATCGACGGTATCGATACTTAATCTGATTTGGCCATGAAGAAGGCCTCTTTTTCTTTTTTAAAAAATTCTCTCCCC